TAAAAAATATTGAAATAATATTTCTCAAGGGACCTCAGGTGCTATAGTCAATAGAGAGTTGTGCTGCTAATCCAAAGGTCATGCCTCTCTGGAGACTCATATCCACTAACAGTTCTGCCAAAGAAAGACATTAATCTCTTTCTGTGTGATTTACAGCCTCAGAAATCCAATGGAGGGTCATCTGTGGGGATGTTCTAACTTGATAGTAATGAAAGAGAGAAAATGGCAAGAGAAAATATTTCTTGGAAATTTTACAAGGCATATTTTCTAACAAATTGAGAATGTATATGAAAATTCCGACACAACCTTTCTTCCTCAAACTGAGGAAGTCCTCAAGTGTTTGCTTCAGAAGGTCAAGAACTGGAGTCTTCAAATGAATTGAAGCTCAACATCAAAAAGACAAACATTATTACCACTGGGCCATTTGACAACACTATCATAGATGGAGAAGAGATTGAGATTGTTAATAATTTAAGCTTGTTTGGCTCTACATTCAATACTTGTGGCACTAGCAGTCAAGAATTAGTCTAAAGACTAATTGTATTAGGGAAATCTTTTGTCATGGAGCTCTCCAAAGTGCTAAAGAGTAGTGAAGCAGTCTGGAGACTATGATGTACCTGATTCAGGCCATAGTCTTCTCAGTTACTTCGTATTCATCAGAGAGCTGGACATTGACTAAGGATAACAGAAGAATTGATGCTTTTGAGTTGTGTTGCTGGAGAAGAGTCTTGAACATACATACCATGGACTACCAAGAGAACAAACAGGTCTTGGAGAAGGTGAAACCAAGTTGCTCCTTGGAGGCAAAGTTTTTCAAGATCTGTCTCAAATACTTTGAACATGTGGTCAGGAGGGACCATTCCTATGAGAATACATTGCACTTGGAAAGGTGGAGAGACATCAGAGTAGAAGAAATTTCAGGATGAGATGGATTGACACAGTAACTGGGGTAATGGGATTAGGTGTGTTGGAGATAGTGAGACTGGCTCAGGGTAGGGCATAGTTCAGAGCTATTTTATTGAGTTGCAGATCACTTGATGGTACATAATAACAACATATGAAAATTCTATATAGTGTAAGTTTGTTTAAATTTTCTTTTTTAGCTTCTTTACACAGATAGAAATTTTGTAATTTGTGCTCCAACTGGTTCTGGGAAAACTGTACTGTTTGAACTAGCTATAACCAGATTGCTGATGGAAGTCCCATTGCCATGGTTGAATATTAAAATTGTTTACAGTAAGTATCGATATATTAAAAATTGTATAATAAAGAGTACAGCAAAACTGATCAGTAAACTCAAAAGAAACAATTGATAAACATTATGTTTTTCTACATTTTAAAAAGACTTACTAGAATTGATGTCTGTTAAATTAATTTGAAAATACGCTTTCCCAGAGTTACATATAAAACTAGTATTTGCATTAAAAGGTTGACCTCTTCACACTTATTATTTTTTTAAAAAAACAATCAAAAGAAAACATTTGGTAATATTAGAGATTTCCTAAGGAACATATACTCTTCATCTTTAGTTGTTGTTTTAAAAAAATAATTTTCACTAGATTAATATATGAACATAGGTTTAAAAAAATCAAAAAAGGGCATAGAGTGAAAAAATCATATTTTTTTTATCCTACCTTTCTCACTCCTACTCACACTTCTCAGAGGCAATTCTGTATAATGATTTTTCTTTTTCGTTTTTTTATTATTATCTTTATACCTCTAATTAAGAGGTTTATGTGATTGCAAAAGCAACAGACACAATGTGAGGGTGGCCGAGTCTGACTTCTACCTGCTTCATAAAGGGGAACTGTCCCCATCAACAGCATCCATATACCCAAACAAATGGCTACATGGTCCTGCACCTATTTCTACCAATCTTTGGGTTCAGTGTTTGTTACAACTTGACTCACACACAGACTTGACTCACAGTCTGGTGTTTACTAGGGAAATAGGTGGGGGAGTGGGAGAGGCAAAGACTAACAATGTAAGTACAGGATTCGATTAGAAGTCCCAAGCCAGATTAACAAGGCACAATTCCTCATTTTGTGAAAGTCCAGGTTCAGTTCAGCACAATACAAGGAGCCTGTGCTTTCCTCAACCATCCAACAGTTAAAAGACATCTTCTCAGTCATCTCAGAGCAATTACATCTTTTCTATTATTAATTTCTAATTTTGTAGCATTATGGTCGGACAAGATGGTTTGTATTATTTCTATGTTTTTTAATTTATTGATGCTTGCCTTGTGACCTAGAATGTGATCTATTCTAGAGAATGTTCCATGCACATTCGAGAAGAAGGTATATTGTGCTTTTTTGGGGTGTATTAGTCTATAAATATCTTTGAGGTCAAGTTGGCTTATTGTGTGGTTTAATTTTTCAGTATCTCTGTTGAGTTTTTTTCTGGTAGTTCTATCTTTTCTTGAGCGGGGTGTATTGAGGTCTCTGAGCACTATAGTAGTGTTGGTCTATTTCCTTTTTCAGTTTTGTTAATGTTTGTTTTATGTATTTTGCTGGTCTTTCATTTGGTGCAACAAGACATCTTTTCATTTAGTCATCCAGCAGGCAAAATCTTTAACTGTAGCTCCATCTTCAGGGATCCTCTGGTTACACCTTGCTATAGTCTCTTCACCGTCCACACAGTTTCTTCGCCCTCTCTCTGCAGTGTGGAAAGTGCAGTCTTATACTGATTTCACAACTGTTGATGATTTGCAAGACCATGTGTCTTCAGTTAAGGTAGCTGGAAACCATGCACCAAATGCAGGTTAATGCAATGGACATAAAAGCCAATTTCCAAGGTTTCTGACACCACAAATATCCATTTTAACATCTCAATATTCAGAAATGTTGATAATTTTCATGCTAACTTTATTACGCAGAAGTTGTGAAAATTATTTTAAATTTTCATTGACATTCAAAATTTATCATTTACATTACTATAGTGGCACCAATAAAAGCATTGTGTCATCAGCGTTTTGATGACTGGAAAGAAAAATTTGGACCAATAGGATTGAATTGTAAGGAGCTCACTGGAGACACCATCATGGATGATCTGTTTGAGATTCAACATGCCCATATTATTATGACAACTCCAGTAGGTGTTATTCATAACTATTTATTTATTTGAAAATATATTTTTCTTTTTCTAAGAAAAAAATACAAAAGAAAATACAGGGTAAAATATAATTGTAATATAAAAATAAAATGGAAAAAGGGCTTGTACTTGGTATATTAAAAATGTCTACAGATTAGTGAGGAAAAGACAAATGACCAATCCTAGAAAATGAGCAAAAGATATAATAGATAATTTTAAATTATAGATCATATTTAATCATGTGTATTGCTTTTATTCTTTATATAAGCACTAGATGTTATATATAGTCATGTCTGTATGTGCATACTGAGTTTTATAGGGAAAAATTAAAATAAAACAGAAGCTTCCCTAATTTTTGTTGTTAAAATTAAAAAATGATGGAACCCTAGAATTTCTAACATATTGGTAAGATGGTAAAAAATAATTTTTAGTCTTTAAAGCTTTTTCTGGGATAATTTTAAGGTCAGTTAAAATAATTCCTGTAATTTATGACAAGCTGTCGTAAATATTTTGTGTATTCATAGTATTTCTAATAATTCCTTATTTGTTGTTGTTGTTGTTATGTGCCGTTGAGTCGTTTCC